CCTTCACACAGGTATGAACACTTTAAAATAATGTTGTTTTGCGCATGTGCCGTTTTTGAGGGCTCATGATAATTATTGAATAGATGTCTCTTGAAAAGGTCTACTGTATTATCTATGAGATCGTCTATATTGTTTTAACTGTGGATGGGTTTGTAAAGTCATTTTATAAGGTTTCTAAATCACGCTCATATTAAGTAACAGACTTTCTCTGGTTGACAGGGCTTTTCTATTCATTATTACGTCTGAGTATGTGTGTGATTCTATTTACCTAAGCTCCCCACAAATGCAGCGTGTGACACGAGGTTATTTATATGGTGAGCCAATACGCGTACATATAATCAAGGACTTTAATTGTCCTTGTAACTACTATCGAACTGGCGTTTATATTACACATTAACATAAGTGAATTGATTTAGTGATGTTATATTTTCCTTGCTGTTCAGAACAGTAAATTAGATGAAAGTATTCTATGAAAAATGTCTGAAGTGATGTTATATTTATCCATCACTGCGCGATGGATAAATTGTCTTCTAAATTACACCAAACGAAAATAAAAGACATCTCATTTAAATAGATATTTTATCGAAATTACATAAAAATATCTTGAAATATTAAAGAGTAAATTTATTCAATAAATTCGACATTGGCTTCAACCACGGCCTCCAGATGACTTCGGAACCTCATGTAATTCTTATGGACATTCTCCTTGATTAAAGTTGGTGAATGCTGCCATAATCCTTGCCTTCAGTTCATCTTTGGTGTTACGAGGAGTATTGTTGGTCTCTTGCTCAAATGCGCCCCACACATAATAAATGGGAGTTAGGTGGCCAGATGTAAGGAGTGATGTGGCCGCAGAAAATATCTGACAGACATGACGGCTTGTGTGGCGTGGTGCAGAGTCCTGTTGCCAGACCTAATATCTTCAAGTAGCCACCCTCATGAGCTAGAGTAGGGCTGCCTCCTCAAGGCACTTAATGTAGGCCTCCGTGTTGAGTCTTAGACTCTCGACAACAAATTCGTGAGTTGTTTTCTTATTAAAAATTCAGAGTGTTTTTTTTTTCTGAGCTGCCGTACCTTCGTAATCTCCATTAGACTCATCTAACTCTAATTAACCCCTAAACACTCTTAAATATTCGCTTTAGAGCTATTGGAGCGCGAATGCATGTACAGCGGTTTCCAAATTTCTGGCGGAGTGAATTGCGTCATGGTGGTCGATTTCTCACGGACGTGCCCAACTGACCCTACTATATGGTACAGTCGACAAAATCAAAAACAAACAATGCGCAAAATTAAATATATAAAATGACGACAATTTTCCCATCGCACCTAGCACACACACACACACACACACATATATATATATATATATATATATATATATATATATATATATATATTAATACAAATATAAAATTTGTCACTTAGCTGATTGATGTTATTTTCATCATGCCGACTCTAGAGTTTCGTAGAAACTTCCTTCAACAATCGCTTCAAGAGATACTATGTAATAGTGAGGTATATAAAATATATGTACACATATACTTCTGTATGTGTTGCGCTTTATTGATAAATCCACAGACTAATATTGAATAAAGCATTTTTTTTTACAAAAGTATTTCTTTCCCAACATTATATCCTTCTTTGTCGCTACTCTTAATTACAAAAATTAAGATATTCGTAGCCCTACAGTTAATTTCTTCTTTCGCCAATCAAGAACAGCCCAGTGCGGCTGGGAGTGAATGGGGTTATTAAATAAATACCAAATGGACATTGCTGAGCCCAACCCACCACTCCCTTTGTCAAACCACAACTGATGTCCTGTAAATTTAAGGTCTACTTCAGTCAAGGACGCGTGGCCGTTGATTCCGCTCTAGCCATTGACTTCAGTCTAGAAAAACCTCCGCCCAGCGTAGCCGTTTCATCACCGCACTGCCAATACATATAGCTATGGAGCCCAGTTTATTGTTGGCCCTGCATGTGGGCTCATCCACGCTTCGGCTGTTTTTTGTTTTTTTATTCTGCTAGATGTTTAGATAAACACTTCACCAGAAAAAATGCCTGGTCAGTGAATCAGTTGATACGCTGATAACCCCCCACAAAAACCATGTAGCAGATTGTTGTATGTTACACTGAACCAGTAGGACTCGTAGAGTGACATGATACAACGCCTGAAGGGACGTATCATTAGTAAAATTGTCTGTAAATTTTTATTAGAAATAATGTTATACTAGCATACAGCCCCAATCTTATTGTACAGTTTTGGTTGTTCAACACGAAAATGACTCGAAATACAGAGGTCGATGATCAGAAATAAAAAGGCATGAACTCTAGAAAGTCTCTGACGGTTTATGGTAGAATATGTTAACAGTTAACAACAAAACAGCAGGACTACTACAAGTTTAACGATGTATATTACTCGCGATAAGTGTATTTATAAAAATATGCTGTTAACTTGAATAGGCCTGCACTATTTGACAGCAAAACTTACACTAAATTCAGCTTATACCAATATGCTTAAAACATATTACATGAAGGTACTTTCTTTATAAGAAAATTGTCTTTTAATCGGTGTATTAGAAATATCAATTTTGATCAATATATTTATGTGACTCAAATACGTGAAGCGTTTCCCCATGCATACATTAGATAGATAGATAGATAGATAGATAGATAGATCGGGACAAGATGAGATAAATATATAGGAGCAGACTAAGATAGATAGATAGATAGATAGATCGGGACAAGATGAGATAAATATATAGATAGATAGATAGATAGATAGATAGATAGATAGATAAATAGATAGATCGGGACAAGATGAGATAAATATATAGGAGCAGACTAAGATAGATAGATAGATAGATAGATCAAGGACAAATATATAGATAAATATATAGATAGATAGACTAATAGATAGATAGATAGATAGATAGATAAGATAGATAAATCGGGACAAGCTAAGATAAATATATAGGAGCAGACTAAGATAGATAGGTAGATAGACAGATAGATATCAATAGACATAAAAAGATTGACATTCTTCCCTATCAAATATAATCCATTATTTGTATCCAACTTTTCACTCTTCAGAAGACCTGGCTGTTACATATCATGAAAAACAGTCCCCAGTTTCTCTTGAAACAATTCCAACACGACGCATGAAAAGAATACCAACTGATGTAACATCTGAGAAAATAAAAAAGTGAGACTTTTGTCCCCAGAAAATTTGAACTATGCTCTATTGCGATTGGAACTGTAATCTTTAGCAGCACTTTTAAACCCCGAACTTTTATTCCAACACAATTCTTTAAAAGTATTTCCCAAGCAGTTAATATTTGTCTTTGTACGAATGCAAGTGCAAGAATCCTATAAATTTTTCAACCAGTGTATGAAGGGACGGTGGTAGTGAGTGAAATGTATCGTGTAGTTTGTGCCCATTCGTGCGTTGTGTAGTTCTCAAAATCTTCTTTAACAACAAAAAGAATGACAGTTAAAACAACCAAAGGTACGTCTATACTCTCCTATCAACGGAAAGACGGGAGTGTTGAGAAATGGTGTGTAGGGGAGCTTGCAACATGATGGAATGTTAGGGATGGAAGTAGGGAAATTTGGCTACGGTGCTGTGTAATGATAGTTCGGGTAGGGTGTTGCGATGATTAAGAATGGAATTGATCGCTCTCCACCTTACTCCGACCCCCAGCTGTTCTTCTGCTGGTAAGAGGCCAGACAGTCGACAGAAAGGAAGATAAAGAGTTTAAGGAAGAGAATAAGGGGTGGGACAGAGCAAAGGGAGGGTAATACGGCGTATAGAAGATCGGAAGTATACAGTGGAATTTATAGCCAGATTCTAATAGTGAGGAGAGGGCAGAACAGCGCCTTTAGACAAAACGAACGAAGAGCCTCTTTAAAAGTTAATCATTTCATCAAGCCGGCCTCGTGTAAGGCTGAGCTTGACACAAGCCAGGTGGTGCCCGGGATTACAAAGTGTCTTCGGCTGCCAGTAGGTGCTGGCCTGCCGGCAAATAGAGTGTCAGTATGTGTCAACGCAGTTTCACGCTCTGTCAAGGCCGATTGCAGCCCGCTGCTTACAGTCAAGATATAGCGAACGGCCTGAAATAGTAAGCCAGCAGCGTTAGCGTGCGCCACTGAAGCATTTCAAGATGGGCTGACTAATTGGCGGACTATACAGCAAACTGGGCAACACTACAAGTGAAAACCTTTCTACTTTCACTTTCATTTTGCTCTTTGGTAATCTTTCTGTTTTCATTATTTTTGTTTTTCGTTTTCGTATTCTTTATTCACTTCTATCTTTTTTCTTATTTTTTCGCATATTCTTCACCACACACATACACACACACTATATATATATATATATATATATATATATATATATATATATATATATATATATATCCTGTTTACTATATTCTTCTGCTTTCTTTGTTCCACTTTTTTTTCTTTCTTCTTTGATTTTTAATTTATCATTCAATTTCTACCCCTACTTATTCTCTGATTTTTTTTTATCTATTTGGACTTTAGGTGTATCTTTCCTTCTTTCTTTTTTTTCTTTTTTTCTTTCTGTCTTTTTGTCCTTCTATCTTTTCTCTCATTTTCTTTTTCCCACGAAATTTCTCTCTGGTACTTCTTTCTACATATACTGAGTTTATCAGTGTCTATCCTTTCTTTTACCTTCCTTTCTATTTCTCTTCTTTCCTTCTATTTTCTCTTTTGTCACCATTTCACAGCTCCATTTTCTCTTTTGTTTTTTAATTCCCCTCAACAAATTTGCTCTCTCTCTCTTTCTCTCTCTCTCTCTGTCTTTATCTCTATCTCTGTCTTACTCTTTAATTCTAGCTCTTTCTCTTTTATTTTTCTATCTCTCTCTCTCTCTCTTTTTTTATGCTTCTCTTCCTCGCTTAGACTTTATGTCCCTCTTTATGCCTTCCTAATTACTCTAAATCTCTCTTGGTCATTCTTTTTTATTCCCCTATTTATTCCCTATGTCTATCTTTCTCTTTTATTCTCGGTTTCGTTTCCCTCTTTCTATTTTTATCTTTTATACTCTATCGCTATCTTTTTCTATTATTCTCTATTTCCCCGATTTCTACTTTTATTCTCTATTTCACTCGTTCTTGATTCCAATTTTATTCTCTCTTTCTCTTCCTTTTATTTTTCGTCTTTCTCGTTCTATTTTTCTCTTCTTATATACCTCTTTCTCTTTCATTGTATATATCTCCCTTTTTATCTTCCTTTCATTGTCTATCATTCTCTTCTTCTTTTATTCCCTATTTTTCTATATCCCTCTTTTATTCTCTATCTCTGATTTTCTATCTTCTTTTTTTATTCCCTCGTTCTCTTTTTCCTCGTGCATTATCTATCCCTCGCTTTCTCTTTTATTCTCTATATCTCTCTTTCTATCTTTTCTCTTTTATTTCCTATCACTCTCTTCCTCTTTTATTTTCTATCTTTCGATTTCTGTTTTTCTCTCTTTTTTTTTGTCATCTCTCTCTTTTATTTTCTATTTCTCCATTATCTCTTTTATTCTCTATCTCTCCTTTTCTCTCTCTCTCTCTCTCTCTCTCTCTCTCTTCTTACAATTATTCTTCCCCTTTTCCTTTATTATAACACAACACAACGTCTTTTTATCTTCCCCTGTTTACTTTTATATGCACAGGCGCCATTCTCTTTCTTTTTACACTTGTTCTTCTCGCTTTCTGAGTATTCCTCTTTTCTTTTTTTTCATCTTTCCATTTCACCTCTTTATCCCTTTCCTCGCCCCCTCATTCATCTTCTTCTATTCTCTGGCTTAATTTGACCCTTTTCCATTCCAGTTATTTCTTTTACACACCTTTTATAAGTAAAACAAAAGAGAATCTACACATTTTCAGGATGGTAACACACCGGCCTTCTGATGTATATCTGACGATGATTGATGGCCGCCATGTTCTCGGTTTGTCTGTCTGTTAAACCGGTTGGCTCCTGATCGCCTCTCAATCGTAAACTTATTTCCGTGTTCTTCCAACAAACGCCTGCCTCCCAAAACAACAGAACATCTATTTCTCAAATAAAGTTTTGTTTGTGTCTGGTTTTGTTTGCAATTTGCTGATCTTTATACTGGCCTGCTATCGCGTGCATATATTGATTAATGAGATAGATAGATAGATAGATAGATAGATAGATAGATAGATAGATAGATAGAGGTCTAAGAAGGGAGATGCAACAATAAAGAGTGATAAGAAGGACGAAAGAGAGACGAGAAAAATGAAATGAATCAAGGGATAAGTGAAAATAAAAGAAAAAGAAAATGTATAGCATTTAGTCAGTAATGAATAAGGAAGAAAGAAAGACAGAAAGAAAGAAAGAAACGAAGATATGGTGTGTGAGTGCTTGCCTTTCTGTCAACGCGTGTCCGCGTCTGTTTTTATTTAGCAAATAGATTTTGGATCTACCAAACAAAAACATGAATAAATATTTGTACAAGTACCGACTAGAATTAAAAGGGGCGAGTATTTATAATTTTTTCATTACCTCATCCTCAGATCGACTCTCTCTTTGACAATTAAATCGAGTAACTAGATTTAAAATTAATCCTCATCTCTCTGGAGTTCAATTAACATAGATAACAACTTAACCTGTTTGAAGGAAAAAATGAAAAACTGAAAACAAAATGAGATTCCTATTTGCTGATGTAGGCTTCATGACTGATTGTTTAAACATCTATCTAATGTTAGCATAGGGAATAAATCAAACTCAAGTGGTATCGATCATTGTTGGGATGGCCTCGAGGATGGTATTTTATCTCAGCCGAATGAGTAACTCTACAGGAGAGTTTCGGAAACATACAGAAAAAATACCCTCTGAGTGGTTACCAATTTAACATGAACACTACACAAATAAAGTATTTGTTAATGTGAATCTTGTTTTTAGGAAATTCTTCCTGCTAAATTAAATTACAGACAAATCTTTAAATCTCTCTATATTTCTCTCAATATATCTCTCTCTATATATATATTTATGTACGTGTGTATGTGTGCGTGTGTCTATTTATTTACCTGTCTATCTCTATCGCTAGCAAAAAGGAAGATTGTTAATTAATGGAACATTTTTATTCTAGGTTCAGGAGATCCACCTGAGGCAACAGAATTTTAGAATCTAAAACAGATCTGTCAAATGATTAAAATGTCAATTGATTCACTCGAACGATTTCATTGGTTAGCAACTTCATACAGGGCTAAATTTAATTGGACGATTATATTGAGCATGTTGGGATCCGATTACAATACGATTGCAAGATCCACTAGATTAAAAAAAAATTACAAGGTTCTTCCTCTCGCGACATTTTCTTTTACACCTCTTAGAGAATTCGATTAATTTGTGTGTTTGAGAGAAAATTGAGATTGGAATTTTTTTCCTGTTAACAAACTGATGAAAGTAATTAGTTTGCTTCTTTTTTTTTATAATTCTTCCTTTTGTTTATTGACACTAAACGCGTGACAGATTGTTCTCAGGCCTCTCCAACTAATGATTTCTGTCAGTTGATAAACTAGGATTGTATTTAATAAAGCAAAACCATCAGAGACTATTAACTCAAAGATTCAGATGTCATTTTCGCTTTTTTTATTTTATTTATTTGTATAATTAATATTTATATTTCTACAACTCTTAACTCTAATCTTATTTTAATTGTGTTTTTCCTTCCCTTTTTTAGTTCACACAGACGTTACGCCTTGCCAATAATGAACTATTCTGTTTTTGTCGCGTGGTAAGAGAGGAAAAGACACTACATGGTTTCGGTGAGAAAACGAAAGGAAGCAAGAAAAAAGTATTAGTGTAGAGAGAGAAAATCCGATTAAGTTGATTAGAACAGATATTACACTTTGATCTTAGACAAAAGGCGGAGAAGCAATTGTATTTTCTTGCAGTTCTACACTTGCAGGATGTGACACAAGGTCAGTGTTCTGTGGGGAAACAGGTTGAAAAATAGTCCACTCTCTCGCATCCGTTGGTTAAGCTGGCATATGTATTATTACCGATTTACTGCAATGAGGGAAGTACTACCGCGGGCAACTGTTTCCCCGAGGCTAAGCATCTCTCAATAATATTTTCACTTGCACTCAATACGGAGACAGAGACACAAAAGTTCGAGCTAACATGGTGACCATGATAGCGGTGCTATTTTTAGGCGCACAGTATCGAACGATAGAAACCGAGCAAGGCAATCGCCAAAAATCCACTTACAATAAATACAATAACATCGTCTGATGAATAATTTTTAAATTATTACTCATAGATTTCTCAAGAAAGAAAGAAAGAAAGAAAGAAAGAAAGAAAGAAAGAAAGAAAGAAAGGAAGCCAGCCAGCCAGGTTAGATAGAAGTATTTAACGTTTCCTGCCAATACTTCATAAATAATGGACTATTCCATTTTGATTGCGTAGAAATACAAAACATCGTACAAATGAAAGAAAGAAAGTAAAAAAAAAAGAAAAGAAAGAAAGAAAGCCAGCCAACAAGGGAAGATAGAAGTGTTTAACGTCTCCTGCCAAACCTCATAAATAATGGACTATTCCGTTTTGATTGCGTAGAGATAGAAAAAAACGTACAAATGAAAGAAGGGAAGATTGAAGTGTTTAATGTCTCCTGCCAATACCGAATAAATAATAGACTATTCAGTTTTGATTGCGTAGAACTACAAAACAACGTACAAATGAAAGAAAGAATGTCAAAAAAAAAGAAAGACAGAAAGAAGGAGAGAAAGAAAAAAAAGAATGAAAAAAAGCCAACAAGGGAAGATAGAAATGTTTAACGTCTCCTGCCAATACCTAATAAATAATGGACTATTCCGTTTTGATTGCGTAGAAATACAAAACAACGTACAAATGAAAGAAAGAAGGGAAATGAAGTTGGAAGTGTTTAACGGCTGCTTCATTTGTACCCACTTCTTTAACCTTTATCACTCCGTATGTGAGATCATTTACTTTACAAAAAGCGTATCTTGCCACTGAACAATAGTGTATTTGAATTTCATAAGTGTACTGTCATATCCTGCTATGGCAACAGAAACAACTTTGAATGCAATTAACAACAAGGATAATTCAACTGAGAGTCTTTGAAAAAGAATGCAGTAGAAAGGAAAGTAATATAAATAATGTTGGGTGCAAAAGGTTAAATAACGTCCAGCATTCATATTCATGATTGTTATTGCAATATTTTGTTAAAGTTGTTAAGTTCAAATATTTAACGATGCGATAGGGGAATTTCTAAGGATATGTTATTGTCATAGAACTCGCCATTATTGATCATTAACTGAATAATTAATATTCATCAAAAAAAATCAAATAAAAAAAACGGAATCTTTCTACTTAATATAAGTACAGCTTCAATATACATTATTCCCCGTATATGTGAAGACTAAGATAAATGATTTTATGATTTCTGACATAGCAATTTTTTATGTATAAGATATTCGGGCACCAATTTTGTTGGATATGATGGTTTTCAATATACTATTTACATTATTCGGACTATTGTCCTCATTTTTGTCGCTATATTTATTACGTTTCGGCCGTTGTGCGCTCCGGCCTTATTCATGTGGTTGGGATGTCGAACTGAACCCTTTATTTCGCTCACTCGGGTAAACTGAAAGGCAGTGGAGAACTTTCAGAGGGGAATTATCATGAGATAACTGACAACTGACATCCATTAAACATGGCACGTGGAACTAGAACAATCTACCCCAGTGAACGAAATAAAGAGTTCTGTTTATCATTCCAACCACCTGAAGAAGGCCGGAGTGTACAACAGCCGAAAAGTTGTAATAAATATGGCGACAAAGATGAGGACAATAGCCCGAATAATGTTAATAGTGTACAATAATACCTCATCTCAGAAATATAGACAGATAATGGTTTTTCAATATATCATCAGTGCCAGCTAACGATGTTCGAGCTCATGTAAAAGTTCAAGGTTTCGAATACTGATTTTAACGCTGACAGATCTTTCTTACTTACTTCTTCTGGTGGAGCTCAGCCGAGTATATATCAGTATGATATATTCTAGAGTGCTTACCGTAGCGCGATATTTAGCAAACAACTTTTACCGTCCATTTGAATGTATGCGGATTTTGTTTCTCGTTTTCCACCCCAATTCGAAATCATTCTTCCTGACTAAAGTAAAAAAAAAAGTCCTCCGGCATCATCTAGAAGAAAAGCATGACCAGTAAGTTATTAGTAAGTTCGATTTCCCTTTATACTTACTGCATTATGCCAGACTAAAGTCAACTTGAGTAAATATTAGTTTTAATGTTTCGATTTTTCTTCATTTATGTTCTCCATCTTTGCAAGACAGGACAGATCATATATCCCCACAAGTTCCTGACTTTTTTGGTCTAAATAACTTTTGACCTTTTACCATCCCGCTTTGTCCCTGTTCTAACATCCACTCACATAGCATCTTATAAATGTTTCATACTGCTTCCACTACTTCTCTTACTTTTAATATGTCATGTGACTATTAAATTCTCTCGGCAATATTTCCTCATTATTATATATCTGAAATTTCAGCACTTTTAAATTATAACTATGCTTCCTTATTGATCATATTTTCCTTAAGTCTTCCTTGCTGTATGCATGTTCCGTACACCTTCTTTTTAACAATGGTCGATACACTCACATCTCAGTTATATCTAGTCTCTTCTCCAACTGAGAGGAAATTTCCCAGCTTTCACTGCTTTCAGTTTAACACTCTTTTTTTTTTCCTAATAAAATGTTGCTATCTCTTAATACAAGATACTCTTAAATTCTAGAAGATATA